CTCATCACAGAATAGAGAATAGATTTGACAATCGAAGAGGGAGATTGGACTCTATTCTCCTTTACAGAGAGTTATCGTTATATGGGTGCTATACGAAAATGTGGACTTGCATTCGCAATTTTTTTTTTCGTCATATGCTGAAGTACCCTTTACGAATTTCAAATACGAAACTTGAAACATTTCCGGTTAAAAACATCGCTAAAATCGTCAAAATACCGTATATTGAGAGGTACCGTTATATGACGACTATATGAAAACGTAGACCGACATGGCCTATTTATGTACGAACTTAACCTGCCTACTGGCAAAATACACATGTATTCAAAATATTAGGCTTCTATTTCAATTCGTTCCAAAGATAGCGTGATTTCAACAGACAGACGTCCGTCTATTGTGATCACGCCTGGTTCAGAACGAATTACGATAGGAAGCAATAATTTTGCACATAACAGTCTTTTGCCTGGTCAAGTTCGAAAATGGGCTTTTTCGGTCCACGATATCGTATAGCCCCCATATAACGGTACATTTTCAATGGAATTGTTTGAAATTCTACACAAGGAGTTCTGTGTGAGTACTTTACCCCCTGAAAGAGAACCGTCTACGATATCGTATATTCCCCATATAACGGTACCACCCGATATTCGGAATTTTGATGATTTTAGCCACGTTTTTCAATGGAATTGTCTGAAAATCCACACAAAAATTTCCTTCCGAATTCTTTACCTCCTGAAAAAGTATTGTCTATGTAGGTCCACTATATCGTATAGCCCCAGTACAGTACAGTCTCCCCCGATATTAGGTATTTTTCATTATTTTAGTGACATCCATCATCGGAATTGCTTCAAATTTCGTATTTGAACTTCGTTATGGGTACTTTAACCCATGACGGAAAATTGTCTATGCTAATCCATGTCTTCGTATAGCTCCCATATAACGAGATACCTCCCGATATTCTGTATTTTGATGATTTTAGAAACATTATTAACCAGAGTTGTTTCAAATTTCGTATTTGATGTTCCTGATGGGTACTATAACCATAACGCGTTAGCCATTGTGGGACATACCCAGAGGAAAAAATGTCAGAAAAAAATTTTAGTTCGCGTAGCCGGTTGAACGTACCCAGCAGAGAATATCTCTGGACCCAGAAAAGGTATTAGCACAAATTGTAGCATTTTGGAAAGGTAAGAGTGTCAGCAATAATTTGGCCCCATGATGTTCCCTATTTCGACATTTAGAGGGTTTTATAAAAAATCCGTGTCCAAAACATCGATAATTTGAATATAACTTCCAAACCGTGACCATTTACCCAATAATGTGACCACTTGTTGGATTGGTATTTCCAACGATACCTATATTGTCTACATCGGGTAAATGGATCCGTGTCTAGTCGGGTTCTTGAACCCGGACTTTTGGGTCAAAAATCTAGAGCCCCGGGTCCGTCCCCCAAGAAAAATTGGATCAGGCAAAAATACCTACCACTGGAAAAAAATTCGAAAAAAAATATTTACTAAACAAGAATTTAGCTGCTTTTTTGCTTGTTATTTTATTTATTTTTTTTATTTTCATATATCCCAAACAAAAAAATTCCAAGTCAATCCCTGAAGTAATTTTCCTAAACAATTGAGCTAAGTCTTGCACAATGTTCGGCTATTAAATGCTCTCTGACGTTAAAGTATTTATATGGCCCTAATGGACTCACTAGTTCCAATATCTCCGTATGTTTTCGTGAGAACTACTGACTTGCTACTGGCAATGTTATACGTGACTTCTGGATGCCAAGCTAATACAAAATGTCGAAAGGAAAAAGCATTGCTTGTCTAAGTCAATATTGATTGGCTATTGGCACTTCTTACAAGGGAGGTGGGTCATAAGACCCGAAAATAATAGAGGTATTTTACAGAACAGTGTTGGCATATTTGTTTGGTATATCGTAGTATTTTGTTGCTGCAAAAACCCATTATTGTTGTTTCTATAAAAATAGCGTTTGTTTATTAGTGTTTACCGAGGGTAAGGCAGGGAATACCTAGGTTTCGGATGGGTATTTAACGTTAGAAATATATTCATATGTACATAGATACCTTATTGGTGGGGGTTCTGAAATGTTACTAAGCAAATGAGAAGTTATTCATTTATATCTCCTCTGGCATCACATTACGATGGTTACGCAGAAAAACTATTCTGAACACTCTAGTAGGGGTCTTTCCACAAATTAAATTCACTCAAATGGTATTTCATACAAAAAAACACAATGAATACCTACGTACAACAAAAAACACTCCAATTGTATTTGGAGTAAAAGAGATAAATGAGCGTGTCACACATAAATTACTCATTCGCTCTGAAAAGAAAAAAACAAGTTTGGAGATTCTTTTTACAGTCTCTCTCTCTGGGGGAAAAACTTTGGGGGCAGCAAACTGCCGTCAATGTTCAAAAAGACATCGATAAGAATGTTACTATTAACAGCAACAACAACAACAACAACAAGAATAACATCTACAAGATATTTCTTCAAACTAAAGATGTTGGAGAAAAATGTTTGGAAAGAGAGCAACGGAGAGAACGAATGTCGGGCAAAACCAAAAGAAAAACTCAAATGTAATGTTATTCAGAAGAATGCCTGCTATATGTAGATATGTATGTTTGTATGACTTGACCGCTGCAGACGACAACAACGATGCCATTGAGTAGCGAGAACGAGTGAACGAGCTAGCGCACGCGACTGCGATAGAAATAAAGTAGCCGCCGTCGAAGATGAAGACGAAAAATAATAACAAAAGAAAGAACAGCACACGCACACATAATAAGCCGGGTGGGTTGCAGATACAATAAACGAACGAATGGGTAGTACAACAACAAGAACAACTAATTGTAAATATTACCTCCACCCAAGCAATAAAGAAGAGATATTTGTGTAGGTTTGTGACTTTTGCGATTTGTATTTGGGTATCTGTGTGTGTTTGCGGTGTGGTGTGTGAGAGTTTGTGTGTTTCAATGGCCTTGAAATAATGCGAAAGCGTCCCACTAAAGGAAATTTACCTATAAACAAACCAAATTACAATGAGCTAAATGACGCTCAACAATTGCAGTGTAAAAAAAGTAGCAAAGAACCTTATCTTCGGGAAGAGAAAGTTATGGGCTCGATACGAAAATTAATGTGGGAGGCATTCTTGGGTTTCTATATCTTCCCTGTTGGAAATTTCAATAATGAATCACTATTGACTTACTATAGACTTTGTCGCCAGTTCGATGATCAAGAGTAACCACCAAGTAAAAGTAAAAAACGGGTGGAAAGACCCACAAAGGTATTAGCACACATTGTAGCATTATAGAAAGGTAAGAGTGTCAGCTATAATTTGACATCAATTTTGTTGACCCGATAATGGGTCCATTTTTATACCCTCCACCATTCTATGGAGGGTATATTAGCTTTGTCATTCCGTTTGTAACTCCTCGAAATATTAATAATATACCCTAAAAAGTATATATATTCTGAATCAGAGTAAAATTCTAAGACGATCTAGCGATGTCCATATCTGTCCACGTCTTCGTATAGCCCATATATGACGGTACCTCACGATACTTGGTATTTTCATGATTTTTGTGACATTATTCACCGGACTTATTTCAAATTTGGTATTTGAAGTTCGCAAAGGGTACTACAGCCTATGACAAAAAAATCGTATGCAGGTCCACGTCTTCGTATAGTCGTTTTCGGATTTTTTTTTTTTTTGAAAATTTTCAAGTTCCTTCCAAATGGTAAAGGATATTAAAAGTTCAGCCCAACCGGAACTTAGCTGCTGTTTTTACTTATAGACTTTTTGGGGGTTTTATATAAAATCCGGGTCCAAAAAATCGATAATTTGACTATAACTTCCGAACCGCTTTAAATAGGTATTTTCATAAGATTCCTATAACATAAGAGGATCCGGGTTTAGCCCGGGAACTTGGTCCCTGGTCAGTCCAAGAAAAAATTTGTTCCACGGAATCAGGGTAAAAATACCTACCTCTGGAGAACAAAGAGCTTTTACTAAACTAGAGTTAAGCCCTACCTATTGCCATTTTGTATGAACTTGTCACTCGGAAGTCACTATTGAAATTGCCAGTAGTACGTCAGTGATTCTTACGAAGACATATGGAGACATTGGAAGTAGTGAATGAGAAGTCCATGAGGGCCATATAATTACCAAAGTAGAATGTAGAAGCTAAAGTCATTTTAAATATCTATTATCTCTGCTCAAGTTTCGTGTTTTGTTTCACTGTCAAATATCCTCAGTTTGTTTGGGGTAGGTTTGGCAGGAAAAAGGTTTCGCAAAAGTACCCTTTTTTGTCTATCTAGGCAAGCGCTACCGTGGGATGATATATACTTTTATGTTGGCCCAAAATACAAGAGCATGACTTGCAGGACATGTAGTTTCACAATGCAACACAGACGTGCAACAATGGACTTATCAAGAGCGAGTTCGGTGAAAATTTTATTTTACGTTCGTGGCTAATGGCGATTTTTGGCCTTTAGATTATTTTTTGTTGGGCTATGTTAAAGATCATGTCTATACAGACGAGCCCTCCTTCAATTGACGCCTTTGAAGACAACTAGATAGTGCGATTTTACGCCATTAGACCATTTTGTTGGGCTATGTTAAAGCTCTTTCAATAAACGCATTGGAAGACAATATTGAACCGTTTTTTTTTCGTGAGATACCTCCCAAAATGTAGTAGAGTAAAATTGAACTAGGCGAATGGGACCATTTGAGGCGCAGTCGCGGGATCGCTCTGATAATGAAAATAAAGATTTCATGTATGCAAAATCATTCTTTTAATCTTGACCAGTTTCACAGTTGGGCGCCATTTTTCGAATTTTCACTTCATCGATATAGTATGTATGACCTCCGGATGGCATTCTTTCCGACACGTGAGCTGATAATCCAGACTCCCCTAAACCTCTTAATTTTCTCTATATAGTTGATGTATTTATAAAGAATATCTACGTTACATGTACTTACCAGCAACTTTCAAGAGTTCCGCATCGACCAGATCCGTTAGATCCGGTTCTTCGCCATACCAAAATAACCATAATTCTTTGGCCGCAGCTAACGACAAGGGTGGATGTACTTTAGATGTATTGACAACTTCAAAGATGGCGTTTGGATCCGAATTGTCCTGTCGCGTGGACTGAACTCGTCGCCAAACGCATAAGATATCAGCTTGCATACATCGTGAATAGGATCGTAAGATTGGATCGTCCAGTGGATCACTGGACGCATTTGGGCGCTCACTGTTAACAAATTTGCGCCATTTTATTCCGCATAAATCAGTCTGAAAATTGAAAAACAAAGAAAAATGTTAAACAAGTGTAGAGAATTTAGGAAATTTAATTTTTCAAAAATTTTAAAAATGTATGCCGTTTTGTTTTCAAAAATTAAGAGTACATTTTACAATTTTGGGATAAAAAAATATTAAATCCGTTAAAAATTCTGTTAAAATCGTCTATACCGGGAGGTACCGTAATATGGGGGCTATACGAAGACGTGGACCTGCACAGACAATTTTCTGTCTTAAGCTGTAGTATCCATTTCGAACTTCAAATACCAAATTTGTAACAATTCCGGTGAATAATGTCGCTGAAATCGTCAAAATACCGAATATCGGGAGGTGCCGATATATGGGAGCTATACGAAGACGTGGACCTGCACAGACAATTTTCTGTCTTAAACTGTAGAATCCATTTCGAACTTCAAATACAAAATTTGAGACAATTCCTGTGAATAATGTCGCTAAAATCAGCAAATATCGGGAAGTACCGTTATATGGGCGCTATACCTATAAGGTGGACCTGCAAAGACAATTTTCTGTCTTAGGCTGTAGTATCCATTACGAACTTCAAATACCAATCTTGAAACAATTCCGGTTAATAATGTCGCTTAAATCACCAAAATACCGAGGGGGGGAGTACCATTATATGGGGACTATACCAAAACGTGGACCTACATGACCCATTTTTAATACCAAAAATCCTGCAGACATAATATACATTTCTGTAAAATTTTATCAACCTACTTCATTTCGCTCGGAAGCTAGAGTGATTTCCACAGACGGGCGGACATAGCTAAATCGACATAGAATTTTATGCTGATCAAGAATATATATACTTTGCGGGGTCTAAAATGTATATTTCGAGGTGTTACAAATGGAATGACAAACTTAATCTACCCCCATTTTATGGTGGAGGTTATAAAAATTTAACATTTCGGAGGGGATCCTGATTCCGATTCCGATTCCGTTTGTGTTTTCTTGTTTTTAAAATTAACAAATGGCACAAAAAGACTCTAGAGCACAGGCTTAAATTTATCCCCACCACAGTTCTATGAGGAAAGGGAAAAGTTCCGCAAGCTTTTTTGAGAGATTTGTCATGAATATGGTGGTATGGTTTTAAGGAATATCAATCGGGAAGTTGTAACATTGCTACACAGCGCCGCATAACAACATCAACTACGGTCAATTATTTGTTGTAAGCTTTTTTTTTTGGCTTAAGCAAGATATTTTCCCCCATGCCTATCTTGATTTCATTTGTTGCGAATTTATCTTTCTTTCTTGTCTCCCTTGGCTTTACTCCAACTTTCATTTTGGTTTTGGCGTAGGAAGAAAATAAAGAAAGAAAGATAAAATACAAACTAACTCCAAAGCATAGAGATAAAATTGTTGTTGTGTAGACGAATGGATGGTTCACCGTTTCTATGTCAAACGCACATCGACTCAATTCCCCACCGCAAGTATTGCAGCAATTTCACCACAACAGCAGTTTGTACCATTTTTTGTTCTTTACTACCCATCCTTTCATGCTTATGGGAAAACTGGGGGTTAACTTTCGCAAAAAGGAAGTGAACAAATGGAAATAAGAGTACCGATGGATGGCATATGTGGAGGAGAAAATTTTTACGGTGTACATGGATGTAATTTGTTGTCAATTTTTTTTGTTTGTTTTATTTTCGCACATTTTATTTGCTCTTTCTCTCTCTCTTCCCGGCATAGTTGGGCAGAATTTCTTGGCGGATAATAAACGTTAATCAAAACACCAATATGGCATAACAAAACTGTTTTTACTCTCATCTCTCTCAACTGTCTGTTTATTGTTTATGTAAAAATATTTTAGGTTTGCATTTTTTATCGCTATTTACAGTGTTGCCAACTAAAGTAAATAGCGGAAAATAGTTTTGGAAAATATTAAAAAAAAAAAAACAGAATCTCCAACTAATATTGTTGTACAAAACGGGGGAAAGCAATGTTTTTTGCAAGAAATCGTGCTAACTCCTAGCAAATATTTGGAACAAAGGATAGCTGGATCCCTTTGTTAATATTTTTAGGCAAATAAATACGATAGCCATAAGTATAAAGTATCAATGCACCCAGAAAAAGTCACAATTTTGTGCGATTTATTGGACCGAACTTTTTCTAAGATACTGCGACTCGTAACGTAGCAGTAAATGGAAAGCTCTGGCGTGAAATTGTACCGATCTTTTTTATACCCTTCACCATACATACATAGTATGGAGGGTATATTAAGTTCGTCATTTCGTTTGTAACTCATCGAAATAATAATTTTAGACCCAACAAAGTACATATATTCTTGATCAGCGTAAAATTCTAAGATGATTTAGCCCTGTCCGTCCGTCGGTCTGTTGTACTCACGCTAGAGTTAAAACGAATTAAGATATGAAGCTAAAATTTTTCATAGATCTGCCTTTTGTCTGCAGGGAGGTCAAGTTCGAAGATGGGCTATATCGGTCCACGATATCGTATAGTCCCCATATAACGGCACCTCCCGATATTCGGTATTTTAATGATTTCAGCCAAATTTTTCAATGGCATTGTCTGAAAATCCACACAAGGAGTTCCTTGTGAGAACTTTAACCCCTGGGCGAGAATTGTCTATATAGTTTCACGATATCGTATATCCCCCATATAACGGTACCTCCCGATATTCGCTATTTTGATGATTTTAGCCACATTTTCAACGGAATTGTCTGAAAACAAAAGTTGTTTCTTGTGAGTACTTTATCCCCTAGAAAAGAATTGTCTATATAGGTCCACGATTTCGTATAGTCCCCATATAATGGTATCCTCGATATTCGGTATTTTAGAAAGTTCAGCCAAAATTTTCAATGGAATTGTCTTAATATCCACAAAAGGAGGTCCTTGTGAGTACATAACATTCTGGAAGAGAATTGTCTATATAGATCCACCATATCATACATCCCCTATATAACGGCACCTCCCGTTATTCGGTATTTTGATGATTTTAGCCACATTTTTCAACGGAATTGTCTGAAAATCCACACAAGGATTTTTCCTGTGAGTACTTTATTCCCTCGAAGAGAGTTGTCTATATAGGTCCGCGATATCGTATAGCCCCTTATAACGGTATCCCCCGATATCCGGGGTGGCTATTTTCATGATTTTTACGACATTTTTCACCGGAATTTTTTAAATTTCGTGTTTCATGTTCGTAAGTAGGTTTGTGATAAACCGTTGGTTTTGGAAATGTGTACTACAAGTGCGCGAAAAGTACAATATTGTACTATTTTAGTACAATTAAGTATTTGGTGAACAGATAGTGCTTGAAATCTGAAATTTGGTATTAGGGTCGCTGTTCATGTGTAGTCTGGACATATGTGGTGGTTTCGAAAATGTTTGATTTAATTGTACCAAAAGTACTGAATGGTACTATGTTTGGTATTGGGTGAAGGAATAGAGGTAAAATTCAGAAATCACACTCAAATCCTCAAATTTTATATAGTTGTCACTGCTGGTGTTGAGATATGGAGGTGGTTTTGGAAATGCGCACTATAATTGTTCGAAAAGTACTAAGTGGTATTTAATTGAGATTGGAATCCCGAAATTTGATATTAAAGTCTATGTTTGTATCTGGATTTGGATTTGGGTAAAGGAATAGAGCTGAAATCCCGAAATTTGATATTGAGGTTCTGTTGGTGTCTGGGTGGTGGTTTTGAAAATGTGAACCATAATTGTTCGAAATGTACTAAATGGTACTACATTTGGTGTTAGGTAAAGGGATGGTGCTGGAATGCCGAAATTTGATATTGGGATCTCTGTTGGTATCTGGGATTGAGATATGAGGGGAGGGGGTTTGGAAATATGTACTATAAATGTACGAAAAATTCTAAATAGTACTAATTGTGGTATTTTGTGAAGGACTCGAGCTGAAACCTTGAAAATAGATATGAATGTCACTGTTGGTATATGTGGTTGAGAGAAAGAGCTGGTTCTGATAAGCGTACTATAACTGTACTAAATGATACTAAAATTGCTGATTTGGGGAAATTTGGTATCTAAGGATGAGATATTTGTACCAAAAAGCCTGACTCGAACTTTTTCAATGAATCTTACATTTTAAGGTGGACTTCATCCTTCTAAAATGATGTCTTGCGGGAGAATTTTTAATAAATCGATGTCCAATCTAAAAAATGGACCAAAAAGATCCATTTGGTGACTCCGTTACAAGTGTAATATTCACTTTAAATGTGGAAGAGTTTTTAGTTTTTTATACCCTATACCACAAGGTGGTCAGGGTATAATGTCTTTTTGCATTTGTTTGTAATAGGCAATAGGAAACTGGATAGACCCGCAGTTCCTTTTGGTGATCTGCATAGAATCACTTTCTGCGTCGATTTATGCATATACATCCGTCCGTCTGTCCATGTATTTTTGTAAACAAAATACAGATCGCATTTATTGCCCGATCCAGATGAAATTTTGCACAAATCATTTGTTTGACCCAAGGATTTGTTTGACACATAAGATTTATTCACATTTAAAGGCTGGAGTGCTCTAACGATAGCCACTTGTGGTTTTCCAGCCAAATATAAAGAAATCACACTATCACGCTTGAATTCCATCACGAATAACTTTTTTTCTGGAAAATTTTCACCAAAATGCTTTTGTACGCTTGTAAATAATATAATGAGCTGACACTGGAATAATTTTAACAGTTGTCGAACGAGTGGCTTTGAAATGTCAGCGGTCTGAAATTGGTTGCAGGTTTTTCATCTCACCCTGTTTGTATATTCTCATTTTCTTAGAACAATTCTAGTTTATTTGAATTAAATTATAAAAATACCTACTACTGCGGAATGCCGATAGAACATTGTTTTGAAAAGAAGTCTGCATTTAGGTTTTCAATATTTGTTTATTTAATCAAATTAACAAAACAATTGGTGCCATATGCGATTATGGCATTTATGAACGTACAACCCATTCAGGTATGGCTTCTTTCATATAACTTTCTAAAACCTATCCTGGTATTAATTGTACCATAAGTTCTACGCCTATTTATAATAAAAAAATATAAATATTATTCTATTATTTGAACAATCAGTTAATTGTGTAAAGGTGTGGTGTGTGCGATTGTTCATATTCCGTTTATTAACACCGGATACAAAGCCGTTATTCAGATTGGAATATTGTAATATTTTCAGAATGAAAAACATTTGTATCCCCCCACCAGCTTCTATCTGTAAACGAAATATAACATTTCATCATATGGAGGTCAATATCACCAACAACAACAATTGTTGATCGTAAATGGAAAAGGAAAAATAAAGCTCTCGCAAAGTGCCACACACATGCAGTGGAGAGAGAAGAACACAGTCAAAACTTGCACATTCGATAAAAAAACGTCAGCGGGCAAGTAAGATAACAACACCTGTTCCTACCGTGACAGCAGCAACAGCAGCGGAGGTTATTGTCGTTCGTTTGTTCGTCGCCAATGCTCTTGTTGTTGTTGCTTTCTTTCCAACATTTATGCTATTTTAACTAAAACAGCAACAGTTATAGCAGCAGAGTAATCTAAACAATTGTCCACCACACACACACGCACACACGTCCCCAACTGGAGAGAAGACTAGACAAACAAGTTTATAACAGCAACCGCACCAAAACAAGTCAAAAGTGGCATATCTCTCATAATAGTAATCGGAACAAACACTCTCACCGATTATCTTTCTCTCTCTCTTAAACTGTTTTCATGTACAACGCACTTCTATAAATAGATTTGTATACAAACGAACTCATCATAATAGGGTCAACACTTCGTAGATTTGAAAAACACCCAAAATATTTACAGAGATTCGTTAGAAAAAAACTACATCATTTATCAATTTTAAGAATTTCAATACTATACCTTTACCGAATACAAAATGCTGTACCATTTAGTACTTTTCGTACAAATATAGGACGGATATCCAGAACACCGCCAAATTTTAAATACAAATACCAAATTTTATAATTCCAGCCCATTCTGCAATATAAGTAAAACGTTTGCAAAGTAACCTAAATGGAGTGAAGAATTTTCCCCATGTTCATAATTCTTTGAAATTTTCGGACTAAGATTCCTTAGCGAATCAGCTACGACGTTTGAACCTAGTATGACCAAAAAATACTCTCCAAGCTATAAAAAAACATTTCATTCATAAATTCTTTTGTATTTTTTTTTTTTTTTTTTTTTTTTTTGAAACAAATTTTGACAGTTTACTATGTCATAAGCATTTTTCAAAATATCCCTTCGTATAAACGAAGAACGGCATCAAAAGATTTGTTTCGAAAAAAAATATTTAAAGCAAAACCATGACGACATACATTTTCACTTTAAGTACTAAGGTACTAGAAAAACAAAAAAAAGAAGCAAATATGCTATTTGTTGTTTTTGCTTGTTGTATATATCTCACAGATGGGTAACTACACTACTAGGCTACTTACCAGGGCAAAAAAGTTGGTATGGCAATCCTCCAAACTTGCGCCGTTTGTCTGATGTGATTGATGCGTCATAGTTCATAGATTTCAACAACAATACAGCAGCTCCTCATTTTCTTAATTATCATTAAGGTTTTGTTTTGTTGTTGCGTTTGCGTTTGTTGATAAATAGGCTATAAGCGGCGGCGTTAGCGGCCACAAATAAAGACACATAAACATACACACAACAATGAAAAACCAAAACAAATACGGTAATGTACGTTCGCACACACACGCGCGCACTCTCAACAGCAACAACGTTAGGCTTGATGACAGGTAGGGTAGTGCGCTGAGTGAGTGAACGAATGAGATTTCGACGGCGATGTTGTGTCTGCGGCGGCGATATATTGACGAAAACGAGTTTAAAACGCAACGACGACGCGTTTTTTGTTTTCTTGTTATTGATGTGATGTTTTGTAGAGTTGTAGTTGTTTTTATTTTATTGTTGTTATTGAAACGTTATATTTATTTGTTTTATTTTTTAAATCTTTATTGTTGTATTTTTTAAAGCTCTTCTCTTCCACTACTATTCAAATGAAAATGGGCAATTTGGTCATACATTTTTGTAGTAGTTGTTTGGTTTTTTCTTTTGTTTGCAAATTTTATTATTCACCATTGAGATTTTCACTGTAAACTGTTGCTGCTGCTAATGCTCTTTACACTTATTATCCGCTTGACTATAATGTAACAAAAAAAATAAGAACAACAAATTTAATAAAATTTATTCCGTTTCATTCAAGTAACATATTAATGTATTTTGATAGTCATTCGAATTGCATCATTTCAGTTTATTGTTTCTTTAAGGATTTAAATTACTTTTCACTTATTTCACAAATTACTTAGCACCAATGATGCTCGAATTTTTTATTTTTTAACAATTTCCACTACACCCCCCTTAACATCAATACCCCTAGTTGTGGGCGCTAAAAAATCACACAAAATAACACTATAAATTTCATTTATGTCCCCCTTTTTATTTTTCTTCTTTCCACTACAAAAACACTCAATTTTGCATTGTTTTTTTATTTTCCTCTTATTTTTTTGTTTTCTTTTTTACACAAAAACACGTTTAATAATTTAGTTTATTTGTTTATTTGCCGTTCTTGTCACGTCGCTGGGGTCTGGGGGCGGTTTGTTAATAATAAACGTCAATATACCCACCAACCAAATGCCGTTCGTTTGATCATTGTTTTCTCTCGTTTTGTTCTTGTTTTCTTTTCTCCTATTTCTACATTTTTATTTTTCATGTTATTCTTTTACCTTACTTTTATTTTGGTTTTTGTTTTGCTCACAGTAATCTGGCGAAAAAATAAATACAACATGAACGTGAAGAACACAGAGAGAAAGAGAGGAAGCAATCAATGAACGAATGAGTGAAACCGTAATATTTCTTGTTGGTCGGCTGAGAAGGGAAAAAAACACACACATAAACAACAACAACTAGACTAACGCAAACTCATTTCAATGAGAGAAGAGAGCCAACGAAAAAGGTGCCGAATCAAAGCAGAGCAGAGGAAGAAGAGTAGTCTCAACACAAAAAAAAACGTCATAAACCAAAGATGAGAGCAATATTTGTCATTTTCTGTGTTCTGTGGGAGTGTGTTGTATATTTTTCTACATAGTAGATTAAAATGATTTGGTGTGGTTGTTGTTGCTGTTATTACTGCTGCTGTTTGTGGTTGATATCGCAATGTAGACGACACCACCAACCCGACAAACAAAGATAATACAATAACGATATGAAAAACAGAAAAACAACACAAACTTTTTTTATTACACACTATAGTAGTTTCTTGTTAAAACATGTTGTTGGTATAAGTAAGTGTGTACGTGTGTGTCTGCACAGTAAAGTTGTTGCTGTATATTTTGCTCAGTCGATTAGTATGTTGCTACATACGTTTGATATTAACTTGCACTTGTTGTTGTTGCTGCTGTTGTTGGCATTTCTTAATTTTTTCTTTCAATTTTTTTTGTCTGTGGGAGAAGAGTTCACACAAATCAACTGGCCGTAGGCTCATCCAAACTAGGGCTGGGCGATACAGAGAGTGAGAGAGAGAGGAGGGAGTGTGTTAAGCCGTGTTTATTCTATTATTTTATTAAATTTTAACACCCTTTTTTATCCGAGGGGGTAGTTTTCACTTTTAATTCCTTAATGTTTCACATGAAACGACAACGTCAACAAACCACTTACTTTAAATGTCCCCTAATAATTGTTTTGGCAAACTGTTTTTTTCCCCACTCTACTGATGGGATGTTGTTTTATTCTTTTCTTTTGCAAAATACAGACTGGTACTGTTGTTTTAACACATATTTCAACAATTTTTCACAACTGACTGATATTTTTCATAATTTTGTATTACTCAAGAAAAAATTTCTTTTTGCACTCATTTCAAAAGACTTGAAACAACACAATTGTTAACCGTGTATACGAGTGACGAGTAGAAAACAACGAATGAACGAGACGACGACTTCGTTCGCTGTCTACACAATGGAAATTTTGCTTTGTTGCCGCTGTTATTAACTGTGTGTGCGTCCAACGAATGTTTGTGTGTTTTGTATTAACAACAACAAGAAGCAGTGTTACCAACTTCAATAGATAGTACATATGTGGGAATTGGCTATTTGAACACACAGTCTGTCAGCCAGCCAGCCAGCCGCTGACACCTAGTTTAGATACAAGATGTAAAATGATGAGATTGATTTTGGGAAATAGAAACTAAAAGAACATGTAAATACTAATTTCACAAGTCTTTGTTTCCAATGAACTTTTCAATGAGAATTGGCAATACTGGTTTCAGATTGTCTTCTCCCCACAGCTCAACTCAATTTGCATGCACTCAGGCAAAAGTGGGGATAGTAAATATAAAAAAACAGCAATGATCAGTAGCCCCCTCCAACAAAAAGCAAAAAAAAAACTAATAAATTAAATTTGTTTTTGTAAAACAATAATAAAGGTCATTAAAACGGTTTAACTCGACTTTACGTTGTATAAAGGTTCCACTCATATCTCTTTCTTGTCCTTTTTTACATATTTTCATTCATTGCTTTGTTTTATGTGATGAGAAAACTTGAAATAAATACAATTTGAAAAAATAAAGAGGAAAATGACAGCAACGACTACGTCGTCGCCGTCGAGGGCGATGCACGACGACGCATACAAATTTTCAACAAAACAACAACGAAAAAAGGAACATCAACTTGAAAACAATGGTGGGCTCAAAGGCAGAAAGAAACAGAAAAAAACAAAACGCAAAACACAAAACACACACATTATATTTGCACTCAATGACAACGCTCTCTCTCTGTCTTTCTCTCTCTCACTGTGAGTTTCTGTATTGTCCTCTCCTCTTTTGTAAAAATCACGTCTCAACCAAATTTAAACATGCTTGGAGGAAAAGAAGCTGCTCTCATATGGGAGAGGACGACCAGGTTTTCTTTTAACAAGAAAAAAATGGTAATGGGGCACGGAAACATTATTGGAGTCCCATCACTTAACATTTGTTTTTGTACATGGCCAGAGCCAAGATGGAAAATTATCCAAAGTAGATTCAGTCAAGCATCAAGGCAACTTCAAACATATTTTTGTAAGTTGGTAGGTAGGTATAAAAAGATAAAAAAAACATTTGATTTAATCGTTGTTTTGTTTTCTCCATTCTTTTAAAATGAACCAGCTTCACAGCGGGTTGCTTGTGTCTACATCATATCAAATTACTGTTCGGTAAGCCATATAAATTTAAATATTTCGCAAACTCGGTTATTCGCTTTCTCAGAGTTGTGCTGTAACAAAAAAATGGCAAGTCTTTTCTTGGGTTTGAAAGAAAAGACTTACAAACAACAACATTTGAAAACAATAACAAATTGTTGGGATTGTTGAACATCTCTCAGGTGTGTACGACAACATGAATATATATTTTCAACAGAGTAAAGAAGAGATATTTAAGGTGCGTTTACATGTCAACAGATTTAGTAAACCCAGTGGATTTAAATTATTCGCCAAAAAGTTCTAATGAAAACATAACTTTCTACCTATCAACTGTTACAAATTACAAACAGAAAAAGTCAAATTGTAAATGAATAGAATTCAAATTAGGAATTTCAATAAAAAAAACCATTATCGAAGTACCTACAACCAAGCCAATTTATTAAGGTCAAACAGAATGAGACAAGGCTTAAGGTGAGAGTACATAAAAGGCTTTTTTGACTGGCTAAAGTCATTCATTGCAAAGAAAAAATCAATTCTCCAAAAAAGAATGAGCCAACATCGTTTTTTAAAAATTTCAAACAGAATAATCGACATTTATCGATGACAGCAATTTTTCAATTGTTTATATTTTCGATAATTTCCGAAATTAACATATTCGCTAAGACATGCCGATAGGTAACTATTTGGTCAATGTTACCGATTTTTGTTAGTAATGCCAAAAAAAAGTTAGGCAGGCGTATGGATTTCAATATTTACAACTTTTACAACAAATAAAGTTTTAGTCATTGACAAGAATATTTATGAAAATAACTCGTTGCATAATTTGGAGGCAATTTTTTGGAGGAATTTTTCCAATTTTAATAAATACATTTTTTCCTACTACATTGTATTAACGTACGAATTGTGTCGTATGACCCAATAAATTTTGAGTGCGTAATTATATGACAAGAAAGTTTGATATATTCATTTTCCATAACCTGCAGGAGTCCTTGGTACAGTAAGGACAATAATGGTACAATAATAATGGTAAAATAAGGTAGACCAGCTTCATAAAACTACAGAAATACAGCCCGAGGCTATGCCCGCTTTCTGCCAAATTGTCATGCAACAAGTTGTTTTCATTTATTCAATATTTTCCCTCAAAATAAGAATCAGTTAAAACGCGAAAAATTAATAAAATGCCTGGATTATTTTCAAAATATGTTCGATCTTTGAATTACATGACAAAAGTGGTGAATAGCTTCAATACGCGTCTTTCAATCATTAATTTTGAAAATATTTTGTTTTTATTTTTCAAAACAATAAATAAATACATACACAACATTGGCAGAAGTCGGTCACCCTTAAAAAATTGTAATCAGCTGCTAGCTCTACCTCACCTTTTTCTTGTACCATGCAAGAATCTACTTATTTTGCATTTTTTTTTTGATATCATAAAAGAAAAATTTTATTAAACTAGAGTTGTTCCAAAATGTTAGGGTAGGAAAAAATTTTGGAACAACTCTAGTTTAATAAAATCTCTTAAATTATTTCGGTAATATTTTCCAGAGATAAGTTGTTTTTTACGCTGATTCAGGGAAACTATTTTTTTCTTGGGGGACGGACGCGCGACGCTGTTTATGACTGGAAAGTCCTGGTTCAAGACCCAGGCTAGACCCGGATCCATTTACCCGATATAGACATTTAGGTATCGTAAAAATACCTACCCCTGGAAAAATTTCCAAAAAATTGAAGAGTTTTTACTAAACCAGAGTAGGCCAAACTTTTTCATTCTTACAATTCTTGAAAAGAGCAATAATCATCGCAAATTCGTATGAACATGGCATTCCGCCTCCATATGAGCATGGCATAAGGTAAGTCAACGGCCTTACCTTATAGTGAGTTAAGCTGGGAATATATAAAGCGCTTATTTGGCTGGCTTAAGTCATCGGCTGGCTTCTTCGGAAATGAACAAGGAGCCTAGGGCCAAAATCGAACTACCCAAAATCGAAGAAGCCAGCCGATGACTTAAGCCAGCCAAATATGCGCTTTATGTATTTCCAGCCTTAGAAATACCCATGGTAGAAGAATACAGGTAGATGCTTGTCAATGCTTGGGAACATGGATATGTAAAAACTTTTAAAATATTTTCTTCAAAAATAAGTACATTTTTTTGTTTTCCTATAGGACGGCAATCTGAGGTTGTTACGACATGAATTTTTCGACAATTTTAACGAATTTGAATAATATTTCATTGAACATTTTCAATTTTAAAACTGGTTTGAGTTCATACCTGTATTCTTCTACTATGAAAATACCGTTTTCGTTCATTTTGCCGTTACATGCATATGACGGAACAAACTTCACATGCCTTGTACTGGCAACTACATTGAAAAAAAAATTTTCGTAAATATTGCCCATATGAATCACTTCAAGGGGTACTAATACCCTAACTTGAAGCACATATCCATAACAAATACAAACATTTTTGGCAGTGGACATTGTTCATTTATGTCTCCAGAAATGTATGGTTTAGATCGTCAATGTGTCGATTTTTTTAATGGGACACAATTTTTCGTATTTGCAAAATAAGATCTTCTGTCATTGACAGTTTAAAAAAACGCAATACCCAAGCTCTCAGCAATGCTCTTGTTTTTGTTTTGATTCACAGAAAATATACAGTTAATCATATCAACAGCTGTGTTGTCCCGGCTACTTATCAATGATATACCATGTTCCAACTGATAAATGAACAATTATCGATAAGCCGGCATTTCATTTCTCTGGCATTATTGTAAATAAACCCGGTGTTAGACGGTTATAACATCATGCAATTACATTTATAGACAGATGCTCTTTGATTGGGCCATTCCAACCATTTATTTAAAATACTCAATCAAATGAACATACGATAAAGAGTCTTGTCATTAAAATTTCCCAAAGTGTAAGACAAGCGTTTTGCAATAAACTTTGTTTTGCTGTAAAAAATACAAGCACCAAAGTAAAAAAAAAAATTGTTCTTTTCAAAGTTCGACGGAGGATTTAAGATAGGCAGGTGCATGGTACACGAGTGACCGACCACAGACTGACGAATCTCGTCGATAAAACAATAAGTCTGTCACTGAAATTTTTCAATGAATATCATAATTATTTTAAATAATTAAATGAAAATATTTCAAAAATTGCAAAAGGTATAATTTTTACAAATGTCTATGTAAAAAACAACATTTTCAAAAAAAACTACTAAGTATGTAGCCAAAGAGAAGTATTCAAGGCAGCACTGAATTATATGCTTAGGCATGCCCAAACATTTGGGGTTGCATTGATTAAAAAGCAATAATATGGAATGCTCCTGCCTCGAACAAAACAAAATTGGATGGATAAACCCACAAATACTGGCTATCATTTTGAAATATCTATGTAGGTATAAACAACGTTTTGCACCCTCCGTATATATATGTCTACCTATATAGAAATGTAACTGATGACCCCCACCACTTCAA